AACGTGGTTCTTTGGTGTCTGATCTTCATTCCAGAAGATATTTACTGATTACAACACAATAGAAGTGAAACTTCCTTGTATAAGGGAAAGGTCGAGAGAAGGTATCATTAATAAAATCACTCGTGAAATGTTATATTGAGAATCTGAATGAATTCGTCAGCGAATATTCGAATCTGCCGTGGAATTGATGATGAGCGAAGAAAAGGACAAATAAGCCGTTGCTAAACGCCTGAGAAATTGCAATTGAGACAGAGTCCACTAGTGATTGCAAGTTGAGAATAAGCGTGAATGCGTTTCTCATAGAAATGGCCACCACTTAGAAATCGATCTTTATCGAGAGAAACCAAATTGTTATCCATCTTAGTAAGGAAGAGTTTCTTGAAAGCGAAACGTTCTTAAGGATGCTTTGAAGACGAAATAAAACTAGTCCTCTGGTGGGAGAAAATCATTTGCATTCGTTTGCAAATCGTTACGAAGATTAGGAGAAGAACGAGGGAATTCTGGACGTCTGAGGAGGTATCCTGCAAGCAAAAACAAACTCAAGGATGCTTGCAAGACGAAAGCAATCTCGGCATTGGGCGGAAAAAGAAAGCTACCGGAATTACTCAAACGTTTTTGATTAATGACAGCTCGAATCTAGGCAGCTGCCCGCTGGACGTTGATGTCGGCTCAGCTTGCCGGCTTCGGTGGCAGCTTCTCGCTCGAACATCCAAAAATTATCGCTAGAATTCCCGAAAAATTTACTCTCTATGAACTCGTCAAACCCGAAGCGCGTCCGAGGGACAGCTCAGCGCTCTGTGTACAAATATAGAAACAGATACAGATAAACAGATAAGGGGTGGAAAGGTGAGGCGCAGCAGAGAAACAAGCCATAGTTCTAAACACCATCACATTTTGTACTTACCCCACCCGTATTCTTCTTTGTGACGTTTTTTCATATCGCGAATTAGTCTTACCCCCCGCCAAAAAAGTTTCACTTGATAAATATTTTTCTAAAATGTTAATCGTCTCTGAATATGTATTACATTATTATGGATGCAAGGTGACGCTATTACATCTGTTTACGAGACGTCAACCGGCCTTCGACCTAACGAAGATGCCTTTGCAAAATTGTTTGCCGGAACGGGGAGGAAATCGGGCGTTACAGGAACCACCGAAGGATTCTCAACGGAAATTATTTCCAAGCCAGCGATTGTCAGCCAGTCACCGTATTTGGCTTTGGCCCGATATTATTGATCCCACTGCAATCCCTGGGCACGAGCAATCACATTATCCGCATTATCGCGGGCGCTGTGCAATCGAATCGCCTGGACGAAATGGCAGAACGCTCGCCGAAGAGCAACAACCCATCAAGAGACGATATCACTCGAGGTTTGTACTTTTCTTCCTCGCGATTTCGTTATTGCCAAAATCGACAACAGGTCGAATTGGAACTGCTAATATTGCCGTTTCCCATGAGGATAGATCCGGACCAATTGCCGTTAAATTCTACCAAAATTCTAGCGTCAATTGTTCGATCGTGACGCAGAGATCTCTCCAATCCTGAGAGTCGAGGAACGATCCGGGGGAGGATACGCCAAGTAGAATCTTCAATAAATAAAATCCGACCTACCCTGTTAAAAAAATGTATAGAATTCATACACTTTTAGTACATAAGGTTGCAGTAAAATTATTAATTTGATGTCTTAACAGTGAATTAGTATAGATTTATTATAAAATTCTAAGTAAATTTACAATTTTATAACACCGTGTTGTAATTTTCTGAAGTTGCGGAGGAAAATTATAAATTTGATATTCAAAAGTTATTTACTACGCATTGTTTGCAAAGTTTTTAAATGACCTTTTAATTTTATGATCGGTTACGTAAGTTTATTTTTATACAAATTTAATCGAAAGATGACAAGCATCGGTGGTACTAGCGGAGACGCATTGTAGCGACATTCTTGAGTCGAGAGGTATTTAAATAATATTACAAAAAATTCTTACAGTGAATAGGAGACTCCGGTAGCATCACGGACAACGTAATTGCTACTTTTCTGTGAGTCTCGAGTTCGATACCCCAATAATTGCAAAAAGATTCTTTTCGGCGTTTAAGGTAGTACTGTCTCTAAAATCGTCCTCGAACGTGCCCGGGACATATGTCAAATTTGTTTGTTTGCAGAAAAAACGTTTAATATCAAGTCCCGATTAACACAAGTTTATAACAATTTTATAAATTTATTACACATATGTACTAAATTTATAATATATGTTATACATTTTATTTGAAAATATGTTATAAAATTAGTACACCATGTCCGAATAAAACTTCCAACAAATAAGTTATAAAATTACACTATTTTTTTAACAGTGTTGATTCTATGGCGCCTACCAACATTTCCCTCGAAAAAGGTCCCGAACTCATCATCGTTAAATACTGTCAAATTTTAGCGTTATAGGTTGGAAGGATCGTTTGCAACGCAAGATCTCTTATTTCCAGGGAGCCGAGGAACCACCCGGGGTAGGACACCTCAAGAAGGAGAGCATCATCGATCCAACCGAGATTCTCCAGCGTGTACCAATATTTCCCTCAAAGAAATGTCGCAAACTCATCGTCGTTAAATGCAACTAAATTCTGGTGTTGATCGAACGTCCGCGGTGTAAGGATATCTTATTTCCACGGAATTGAAGACTATCCCGAAATAGAACAACACCGCAGAAAGGACATCGTCGATAGTAAATCCGACCAATGTTCTACAGGGTCTAGCAACATTTCCCTCGAAGGAAGATCCCGACCTCATTGCCGCTAAATGCTTCGAAATTCTGGCGTTAATCGGCTGGAAGAGTCGTTTGCGGTGCAAGGATCACTTCTTTCCAGGGAGCCGAGGAATCGCCCAGAGGAGAAGAGCACCCCACGAGGGAACGCATTGTCGGCGAAAATTCATTTCTGTTTTCCCGTCAGCTTCGTTATCGCGCGGAATAAATTCAAGCTGAGGCGAAGGGGCGTCTCGGCACGTTCGCGAAGAGGGTTCGGGTCGCGGGGAAAATGAAGTAGTGTGCCAGGAAAAATTGGATTCGCCGAATGCCTGGCAGAAAAAGAAAGGGAGAAAAAATGGAGGAAACGTCTCTCTCTTTCTCTCGATGTCCGCTCGATCTCTGGGCGACGCGGTCGATTGTGGAACGTTCCATCAAGAAATGGCCCATTTTCGTCGGGCTGTCGACAATTATGATATCGCCGACACTTCGCGTCCCTTCTTATGGGTGGAAAAACGGTATTCCCCCCGCCCGGGCGAGAATCGCCGACTAAACGCTTCCCTTGGAACTCAACGGCTAGACGTAGAGCTCCGCATCAAGGATAACTTCTCCCCGAAGTGCAGTAACCTCGGCGCGGAAGCGCGCCGACTCACGCGGGAATCTTATGGCCCGTGCAAAATGTATGCCCCTTACCCCGCCGCGGATAAATCGAGCGTGCCCGCCACCGAAAGGTGAAATTGCGCCCCCTTTCTTCCGAGCTAGTCCGCCGGAGACGATCGCTCTCGAAGGGGACTTACGCGAGCGATTAGCTCTTTTCTTCGCGATCTCGCCCGGCACCTGATATCGGGAAGCGACAGTGGATTAAGCCCAGCCTGGGTCAGCCGTGACGTGATTCCACTTTTCACTCGCCGACGGGGTTTAACTCGATTATAGAACTAATAACTTTTCTGTCGACAGGTCATTCGGAATTGTAGTTTCCCCTCACTCCGTATAAAATATGATATATTGCCGTATTACGGGGAAAATGAAAGGAGGAAATAAAGTTATGAAACGATTAAAACTTGGCAGAACCTGGGTGGGAACCCCTCAGTAGATTAAGCGCTGCCTGGGTCAGCCATGACCAGCTGATTCCACTTCCCAGTGGACGGTTAGAAGAATCCAGTGAAGGATGATTTAGCCTATCCAAAAACTGTTCCTGAACGATTATTATTAATGGTAATTATTTAATAAGAGTTTTAAGAATCAATGCGCGCGACAGTGGAAATTCGTTGGTACCGTTCAATAAAAAAATTGATAGGAACAGGAATTCGGAACATTGCAATTCGGAGTAAGCTTTTCCAAAGGTTACCAAGCCTAGTTCGTATATAAAGCAATGGCTCCCCTTATAAAATATTAGTAAACTGGAGAGCGCTGCGGTTGCTCGCGAGATGCAATAATTCTCCATTTGAAGGGACTGCGGTATTAATTTCGTAATTTATTTTTCCGCAACCTTTCCTCGGAAACAGGAGCTTCGGAGAGGGCCGTAGAGATTCGATATTGTAATTTATGGACCCTGGAATCCAGCGGAGTCCGCGCGCGTCCCTTCGAGAATTTGTTTTCCGTTTCTTGCTGTAAAACCCTATCCATTATGATTTACGACGGGTGGACAACATTAAGCCGGTCGTCTATGCAAGATACATTGCTCGATTGCCCTCACTTTTTAATATCCCGTTCAATATTACTACTGCAATCCAAAGACCTTGCTCTTCCTCCGAGTCTAGCCCTGTCCACGCTGCAATTACAATAGTATTTTCTCACCACATTTCAGCAAGTTGGCCCCCAGTATGAGACGAATATGCACGAGATCGTACACAAATCGAAAAACGTACATGAATTATTGATCCAACGTCCCACGGTCCTAGAAGGCGATGGTCTGCAAAGTAATTTCTGCACGACGCAGCTACATCGGAATGCAATCTTTCATTTACATTCAGTGTCACATGTGGGTGTGACTAACGATCAAAGTGGGCAAGTTTTATACCTGAATATCAATCTTTCAGCGAAAGTCAAGGCCGAAAGCACTGACGCGTGTAAGGGAAACAAAACCTGTGTCGATTTGATGATAAGCCTCGTTTATACCGTTTCGTTCTACTTCCTTCGCCCTTGAGGACCTTGTACGAAGCTACCTTATTAAGTATCCAGCTCTCTTCGAACCTGTAAACTCTCCACCTTGGATATCTGGATGTTTAATAGGACCACCTTGGATGTTTAATAGAGAACACAGGGTATTATAAAAAAATACTCGTTTATTATAACACACGCGAATATACACGAACAGCGATTAATTACATTAGGCGATCTCACCTATGGTGATGTAAATATATTACGATGACCAGTAATCCGTCTTTGACGATTCAAACTCACTCTGCCTTTAGGAAGCTACGTTTAACGCATTCGTCATCTCGGGCTACTTTGGACAGCGGAGATGCAAAGAGTCTCAGAAGGATAGAAAAATATGAGAAGTCGCGCTGCACCTTCTCTTGACTTTGACCTTAAGAATATTGCTCTTAACATCTTGGATTATGCATTAGAAATAAACGCAAAATTACATTATAAACGAGCGGAAAGGGTTAGGTAATCTTTTAAAAGATCAAGTGAAAATAACGAAAACATTTCCCTTAACGAAGAAAAAAAATTCATACAGGTGCTGATTGGTACGGGTACTGATCTTGGAATTTCAACAAATACCTTCTGCTTGTACGAAACAAGGCACTTTCAACTTGTTCATTAATACATTTTTAATTATTGTTTAACCGGTGGATAACCAGCTGACTTAATTTCAAATCTAAAAAATCCTAGACCGAATCTTCATTAAAAAGGTTGCATACTTGTCGCGTTGCAGTTCTGGCAACGCATATCGAACATGTTTGAAATCCTGGTACGCGATATGTTTTCGGGGTACATAAATGTTAATAAATAAAAGCGCCGACGAAAGAAATGAACAAAAAAACTCGTAGCGAAAGGCCTGCGAAGCGCGTTACTCTTATTCGTTCGCAAGCTGTACTTTACGCGCTAGGGTTACTCCTACATACTGCTTGTTACTTACTAATAAGTAAAACTGAGATTGTCATGGGAGAGAAAACGCTCGTTAGTGGTATCGCCTGTTCGTCCAGCACTGCGAGCAGTAATAATCGTGTTCCTGGGAGCCAAAAAATTGACAGTCTTCAGTGCGGCACTGCCTTACCATTCCCTGAACAGAAAAATCACGTTATCGGACACATGGAATTGGAACCGCGTTGCGATTTTTCGCTCGACGTACCCCTAAATTACTACCGTTATTCCAAAGCTCTGGGGTAGAAGACTCAAGTGACGTTGCCTGGTCGTTATAAAACGTAGACCTGGAAAAATAATTTGCAGCAGATCAATTTTAGAAGGATCCTGTAAGTTTCTTTATTAAATTTCGTATTTCATTAGCCCCTTAGCTATGACAAATCTGACCGTGAAACTGTACCGCCTGTACCAACAGCTCTGCCACAATTTGACGGTAATCATATACTACTTTAAATACGTGATGATTAAGAGGACCGCTATAAGAGTGTATTGTTAAGAAGCATCACTTAGAGAAAAACCACTATAGTGGCGCTTCGTAGCTAAAGGGTGAACTGGAAAGAAGAACAATAAATTACCTTGAGAGATAGAGCGTTCGATCTTTGTTAGGATTTGTTGGGAGTAATTTGCTAACACTCGCGTGACTTCCTCTATCGCTGGCCGTATAAAATTTCGATTTACCAGCTCCATAATTCATTTCGGTACCACCGCCGTTCTTCTGTTGTTCCTGCAAATACCTATAGGAAAGGATAGGCTTGGTTTTTATTTTTTTTTTTAACTTTAGTTTAAGTAGCTCACAGGAGTTTCATCCAAAATACAAACCTGGCATGGGCACATTGCAGGTAATTTTGTAACATCTGGTCAACATATTGATGTCGCCTACTTCTGATTCGCACACACAACAATCCTTCGGCAACTACACCTGTAGATGATGCAGGTGGACTCTTTGGTCTTTTTCCCATAGACAGTAACTTTCGACTAACAGATTTTCCAATTGAACCAAATTGCTTTGCTACTCCCATCAATTGCTTAGCTGCCTTGCTCTTGCCGGAAGAGGAACCATCAGTATCGGACAGTCTATCTATATCATCCGTCATTATAATTTGGTACTCACACTCTAAATAATCTTTTATTAAAATCTCCATCTACAAGACACGTAAAAAATGATGATTCAAAATTATTTTTTCGATTAAAAACATGAAAATAGATCCTAACCGCATCTTGATGACATGGTAGCAGATCTTGTGATGAAGTAGTCCAATCCCAATCAGGTCCTGGGTCTACAGCAAACAAAACTGGCAAAAGCTGCCCAGTATCTGGATCCACCAGTGGTATACTGACACCTTCTCCACTACCGTCTCCAAGATCATTTCCTCCATCAACGGTAACCAAGGGAGAAAAGTGGGCTGAATGATATGCCAACAGCAATGGAGTTCGATGACATCGAGATGGAGGCACCTCCAATGGCAAATAAACTCCACCAAAAGGAATAGGGGCTATAGCAATTCCTTCTGAATCCTTTAGCATCGTTTCTGCTATCACTATAATTGGTCTTCGCAAAACATGAGCGAGTGCCAATACGTGTACCTAATAATAATTTATTAAAATTAAATATGCTAATCATAAAATAATGCAAAATGCGTCAATATACTATCACTGTATTTGTCGTAGAAAAATAACATTATTTTTCTCACAGAAAATCTGTTAATTTGGTCACAACTTTAATTTAACAATTTCAAAAATTCTACCTCTTCAAGACTCTGATAGGATGTAGTGGTTTGATTTCGTGGATTAGCAGATGCCATATCTACGATACTTTTCCATTCTAATAACCATTCAGTCTCTGTGTAAGACAGCCCAGCTGCTGCATTTAATCCCATTTGCCTCCACTTCCATCTCCTAAAATTAAAACACTCTTATGACATATTTTTAAATAAATTTGATCCTTTCAATTTTGTACATGTATTGGACAGCTGCAAATGCGCAAATGTTTTCTTTGTATAGAACACTCACCTAAATAAAGCATGCCTGTATTCTCCTTTGGCAAGAGTATTATGAAGTGCATCTCTTAAAGTTAACAATCTATCATGGAAGCCCCACATTCCCAGAGATGCTGCATGGAGAAGACAATTACCATCTCCAGTAGTTGCCAATGGCCACAGCACCCTTGTTCCTCCATTCCTACCGTTACACCACCAATTTAATCGCCCAGCAGTCTCCAAAGATGTTAGACATCCTCCTTCGATTAAATCTCTCTCCAAAAACTGACGAAAGGAATCTAATTTAAAAATATTAAATTAATTCAGTTGAATAATATTAAACAAACAAGATACTTAAATAATGATAATGCACCTGGATATACAGAAAGGTCTGGTAACGAAAAAGTAAATTCGGGGGTATCCACAGCTCCGAGGGTTGCGAGCTGGGACCGAGCATGTGATACAATGGCAGCATTTTCAGTCGCTCTCGAAATCCCTCTGGCCAATTTTTTTATAGTACCTCCACTGCTTTCCAGAGCATTATTATTCGATTTTGTCTCTTGCTCCAATCCATCGTACATGGATATCGTGCTCATAGCACCGTTTTAAAGCAACAATTTGTAATGTAAAACCATATCCACCTATTTTCCCCTTCAGAGTACATTTATTGCAATCTTATTTTGATAAATATTGTTCCAATTCCAACTATATCGTTGTCATTCGTAATGATCACTAACATTGGTTATGGAAATACACAGGAAGGCTGCGTTAGATATCCTGTAAAAAGAACGCAATCAACGTCAATTAGCTCCTTTCATGAAAACTCGCTGCAAAGAATATATTTGACTCTTAACTGTTACCAGATTGACTACGACTGTAGTCACTGGTAGTGGCAATTGCACTGTAATAAGATACTCATGTTTTGATTGTCAATGTGGTAAACATGATAAGTAATAAAAATTTAGCTATACACATATCTAACCTCAAAGGTATGGCATCCTAAGCCAAGAATTTCTAAATATTCTAAATTAAAGATCCCAACTATTCAAAGCTCACTTAAATTGTTAAACAACAAAAATTTAACGAAAAATGTAGGAAGGTCTATACTCAGCGCGAATGTCACATGATCATTTGAGAAGTACTACTCCCCCACTTTGATCCTGTCGAACATTTACAAGCATACCTGTCATTCGTTCATTCCTAATTGGCAGCGCGTGCTACCTTGCAATGTCACGCAATATCAAAGCTAAAAGCTTAATAGCATTCAGGAATTAATTCAATGCGCGGTAATCGATGCCGAGGAAATGAAATTGTAGTGAGAAGTCGATTAGCGCCGTCGTATTTACCTGGCATGCCATCCGGACATGCATGTACATACGTGCAAGCAAGGATGCGCGTGGTTGTTCAAAACTTCAAACCTTGAGCCGTTATTGAATTAGTGCGGAGGCGTCGTACGACTTATTTATTTGTCGGTAAACATTCGGTCGCTACTTACACCTTAGGCTTACTCGTTTTACAATCTGGGAGTGGAAGAGCAGCGACTCGATGAATTATCCGTAATCCCGCCAAACGAAAGCTCTTCCCAACGGCCGTATCGTACGAGAAAAATAAAGCAAACCGATAACGTCGCCGCTGCCCGCTGTGCAGTGTATGGAAACATACACAAGCATACGCAAATGCATAACTTCCTACACTGAACCTCTTTCCCCTGTCTGTATTTACAATTAATATTTACGTGACAGTGCCCATTCTACGCATGCGTGCCGTGATTCCTCAGTTCATTCGTTCCTACGTCTATGCACATGGCCAATGGTCGTCCTTCATCAACGCCACGTTCCGCTATGCGCTTTTCATCACGGGATAATGCCAAAGAGAGGTTTTGATTGCTTGTAGAAAACGTACAGGCGGAAACTCCCCAACTCCGTTTTTCATTGCAGCCAATCAGAACCTGTTATTCGCTCCATCACACGATACTATCGGATGAATAAAATATCGGCCAGAGATGAGCAACAGAGATGAATTAGGAGATTGCTCACGGGCAGAATCGTACGATTGTGGCGGGCCCGGGACGAAGTCCGGCCATCGACCACCAGGGGCGTAGCGCGCGTCGAGCGCGATGCAATCAGGACGAGGTAAACTGCGTTACCCCGCGTGCACATTACTTTACTTACCTCGAAACAAAAGACGACTACGTCGGAAAATGTTTACAAAACGGTTGAAAATCGAGGAGAAGACATTGTGACCAATTCTAGAGCGCACGTGGAAATCCGCTCATTTTGCTATGTTAATAAAGCAATAACTATAAATAAAGTGGTGAAATATATTTGACAATCCCCACACGATCGCATCCTGTGCTGCCCTCTGGTTTTGTACGTTAGCGTTCACCGTTTTTCGCCCCCAAGGGCGACGTATTGAATTTCTGATAGGGGCGATGGCGGTACCATCTACCAGTCGCCGTTAGCGGCTCACATGCGCGGGATGGTAATACCCAGAGTTCGAAAATTCTCGGTAACATTAAATTGGAGAAGGTAACTGTGAAACATACCGTAAGTTACCGGGAACATTGAGAATTTAAGAGAACGTTAATTTTGTTATTTATACTTTAGGTTTCTTCGTTTAAATAACTTTTTTTTTTTCAATCAACTTTAAAGTTCAAGCTAAAGAGTAATAATTACTATTGGAAAATGTTGATTATAGGATCGTATTTATCTCCAGGTAAAAATGTTCACGTATGTACAACTTCACGGAAGATTCTATGAGATTTGATCAAACGAACTGATATTTCATTCTGCAACAAAGCGAATGGGAGGTTTTGATTGGCTACGGACAACGTACAACGGAAATTCCCCCCTACGATGTTTCTCTATAGCTAATCGAAACCTCTCGTTCGCTCTGTTGAAAAATGCAAATTCTCATAATTTCTCGATAAAAAAGGCTTTGGAGAAATTACCGATAAATTACCGGGAATTTCTCTTTGATTCTGACGTCATTTACTGGATTTAGAACTCTAGTAATACCATGTGGCAGTTAACGGTGATGGCTCACCTACCCTTACCGACACTGCTCGCTTTTGATGGTAAGGGAAGAACACTCGTGACGTTCCATTTGACTTTATCTACTTATCTACTACTATTAAGTACATTGTTGCCTCGCAGCGACGTGATGCGGAGCTTTGGGGCACGCGTCGGTGTCGCGTACGGAACTCTCATGCATCGAATCTGTGTGAGTGCGATCGCTCCTACAAATCTTCGTGCGTCCCAACCAGCCAAGCGCCAAGCTACGGGTCAAGACGTTGAGTATGTGTGCGCTCGGCGCTACACTCGACGAGTATGCATTAGAGTCGAATACTGCGAAAAATCCTTCCGAGGCTTATCTAACCGCGGATATAAGCCGAGTCATTTCGCGTATGATTTTTACATTTCCCTACTAGCGTTATCGAGCGTTTTTCGACAGTTTTCGAGTATTTTTCGAGGGTTTTCGAACGTTATTCAAGTGTTTTCGAGCCTTATCGAAGGCCGTACAGTGCCGTTGAGTGTTGTTAAGTGCAGTAGAGTGCCCGAGAGTTGCCGAAGATTGCCGGAGAGTCGCCGGAGAGAGACGGAGAGTTGCGGGATAGTGCTGGAGAGTGCCGGAGAGCGCCGGAGAGTGTCGGAGAGGGCTGTAGAGGGCCGGAGAGTGCCGGAGAATTGCCGAAGAGTGCCGGAGAGTACCGGAGAGCTGCTGGAGAGGGCCGTAGAGTGCCGCAGAGTGCCGGAGAATGCCGCAGAATGCTGGAGAGTGCCGGAGAGTGCCGGCGAGTGCCGGAGAATCCCGGAGAATGCCGGAGAGTTGCCGGAGAGTTGCCG